AGGGGCAAAAACGGAATACACAGGAACCATACCAACGGGCAGCTTGGTCCCACGTGTTCACACTGTTAACATACACTCGGCTCCCGGCAGTCTTGTAAGACAACTCGCAGTTCTGGTAGGGACAAAACATCAATCGTACGACGAGAACGCCACAAACGTTGGTCAGCCGTTCCACGGCAGACCGAACTGCGAACGTACCCTCGGGGCTAGAATCAACCTGACTGAACATTGCCGTGTCTGTCTTCATACATCTACCTTTACCTCTCGGACCAATTCGACCGCCGCACATCAAACCACTCCATCTTTATGATATAATATGGTGCGTAAATTGCCTGAACTAACCCCTGTGGTGTCTGTCGTCGCAATGTGAGATCAAATGGATGAAGAATTCGGTGTAGTGAGTAACAAAGGACGGGACCACGCACGCCGCTTTCAACTGCTATTCCCTTCGTGTCGCTGTCTACTACAGCTCCACTTCTGGAAGTACCCTCACAGTCAGAATAGCTGCCCTCGACATCTACGAAAGCCCCACCTACTCAATCTACCCCGCCTTTAACACAACCTACAGTTCATACATATATTCAGGCACCGCGACACCTCCCTTGGTGCGGTCCACTGAAGACCTCTGTTCATCATCCAAACCACAATCTTTATCTGATAGACAGCCATGTCCGATAACCACCGGCAAACTATTAATAGGATGCTACTTACAAAGATCCAAGCCAACATGAAATAGTGGAAGATCGGTGCGGTTTGGTCCCAGTGACATNAAATCCGAAGTGTGGAACACCCGAGCCTCGAACTCGCGACCTGTTGGTTTAGAAGTCCACGCCTCTACCCACCGGGCCACGAACCCGTTGCCCTGTCAGTTTTCGATCGGGAATATACAATGGTAGGGACGCGCACCGATCGTTCATACGGAACTCACTCGTTCCGTTGTGCCTTAAGGGCTCTCTCTCGAGCCCAACCAGCAGCCGCACAGCGGCGCATGATATATAGGCAGAATGCTATTACCTACCATTGTATATTCCGGATCGAAAACCGACAGGGCGACGGGCCTCGATTGTTTCCCTGGCTATGCGGTCGCTTCCTCGGCCCAGAATTTTGACGCGCTGAAAGGCGAACGTGTGTCCGGAATCGGCGCAGTGTTCGGCCACCAGAGACAAAGGGTCCATTCGCCTTACTGCCCTCATGTGTTCTCCAACACGGGTCTGTAGTCGTTTGCCCGTCTCCCCAATGTAGTTGGCTTCACAGGAGTTACACTGGATCCGGTAGATGACGTTCGTGGTTTCCCCTGGTGGCAGAGGGGCCTTAGGTCTCATGACCAGATGTCGAATTGTTGACTCCGGTCGGTGGGCGATGCCGATCTCCAGCGGCCTTAAGAGACGGGAGACCGCCTCAGAAACGCTATCGATGTATGGAAGCGTCCGCCATATTTTTGGCCCTTCTGTTTCCAAACGTCGGCTCAGTCCGGCCTGTCTGCTGCGTTCGATTAAGTTGCGCGGATACCCGTTGGACATGAAGAGGCGCTGGAGGTGGCGTAGTTCTGACTTTCTGTCGTCCGGCTCGCTGCAGTGTGTTTCTGCCCTTCTGTAGAGTGTTCGCACACAACTGTGTTCCGTGGCACAACGGGTGCTTACTGTGGAAGCTCAGGTGAAACCACGAACGTCATCTACCGGATCCAGTGTAACTCCTGTGAAGCCAACTACATTGGGGAGACGGGCAAACGACTACAGACCCGTGTTGGAGAACACATGAGGGCAGTAAGGCGAATGGACCCTTTGTCTCTGGTGGCCGAACACTGCGGCGATTCCGGACACACGTTCGCCTTTCAGCACGTCAAAATTCTGGGCCGAGGAAGCGACCGCATAGCCAGGGAAACAATCGAGGCTTGGCACACAGGGACAACCTCCATCAACCGTTGTGTGGCTCTACCCGCTGCCTATCAAGCCCTTCGAGCACAGCTCAGTAAACAAATGAGCAGACGTGAACCCAGGCTAAACACGAATCCAGACATGAGTGGGTCCATGGCGGATGCACACTCAGCCACCCCTCAACCTGGTTCCGACGAAGGCGCAGTCGTCACCACAGCCGTTCCATCTACTAGTCCGGCGGACGAGAAAACGGACAGTCGTTGCGGCGCAAACAAGATTGCCAGCCTTGGACGACAGTTAAGGTCAACGAAGGTACGGGCGACGACCACCAACGTCTCAACGCCGGCCCCCGATGTAGATTGAGTACTTCCCGTCACCCTCCCTCCCCCCCCCCTCGTCCGCCACAGTCCTTGTGTGCATGCGCTGGTGACCACTAAAGCTGATCCACCGCCCCCTCACCGATCGTTCATACGGAACTCACTCGTTCCGTTGTGCCTTATGGACCCTCTCTCGAGCCCAACCAGCAGCCACAGAGCGGCGCATGATATATAGGCAGAATGATATTACCGACAAAG